AAAATAAATCGGTAACTAACATTGACAAAAATGCCACCATGTCATGTCAATATAAATACCTGCAACAGAAATCCCTGAATGACGTCATTGGCACGCATAAACCCTCTTAAGGGAGTGTACAGTAGATTAAGTACAGAACAATAGGAAGGTATTTGTGTAAGTATAGAGTTGTTGTTGTCAATTGGCCAACATTTCATGAGCAAAGAGTGCATTTACTTCACATTACAGCCAATAGCAGAGACGCATTTTTACAGCAAATATTAAATGACCTTCAGTGCTAAACTGCTGATGGCACATCCTCACTTTCTGTTTTACGTTACAATACTTCCCTACTGATAATATTTACTAACAAGGTGAAAGTGTGGAATATTGGCTTGGCATAAAGTTTTTTGAGCATTTGGGCATCACATGACTTATAGTTTTGGCATGCACCAGTGGCTTTAAAAAACACACAATAATGGCTGGTTTCCATGGTATGGTATGGTATGATAAGGTATAAAACACATTTAATTCCATTTCCACTGCCAGAAACACTAAAACAGTAAACTGTACCATACCACCTCTCAGAAGGGTATCGACATTGCAAAAACATGCGGTCCCATTTTACAGTCTATTAAGTGGCCTTAACTAGGATGTCCTTATACTGAACATAATAATCAGTTACAATGTAATTATTTTATAATCGCATGTTTTTACATTGTACTTATATTTGACTAAATACCTGCATGTAATTACATCTGTAATAAATTTCTGTAATTACATCTATAATTGCACTTTTGACCATCCCTAACCGTACGTTCACACCAAAAGCAGGCGAGAGCGTCAAAGTTGACAGAAGTCATTCATTTTCAATGACAGCCAGCGGGGATAAGCGGCAAGGAGCAGCGCTGTATGTCTTCCTCGGTGTGGGCGTTGAGGAGATTTGAAATCAAGTTAACTTTATGGTATGAGCTATGACGCAGTTTGGTGGCAAGCAATAAGAATGAAGAAGTCCACTGCTTGAGAGGAGTTCAGAGAACACAGACCTGTGAACTTTGGTTCCGACCAAAGTTGTTCCCAAGGGTTTGATTATTGCGGTCGCCGGATTTTCAATTATTTACAATGTTTTCTTACTGGAACATGCATTAAATGTTTCTGGCAAGTTACTGATGTACATTAATGTTATATATATATATATATATATATATATCTTTAAAAAGGCCGGAATCTCATGCGACAGTACAAAACAGTATTGCTGCTTCAGTATATTTCAGACACATTGGATAATTAAGTAGAGCAAAGCCACACCACACGCAACTTGATCTTCCATTGTTAAATAAGTTAGATAAAAAGTGCGCACATTTTGACGCTAGAAAGCACGTTTTATGCAGGAATGTAACTAATTTGCTGCAACTGCCCCTTTAAATATCAGATCTAAGTAGCGAATTTTGACGCTCTAGCTGCTGGAGCTGAAGGCAGACAGTGTTGTCGCCTGGGCAGCCAGAGCGACCTTTGATGCTCTCTCTGCCTTCGGTGTGAACGCACAGTTAGACCAGGGGTGCCCAAACTCTTATGAAGGGCCAAAATCCAAGCTTGATTGAGAGCTGTGGGCCGAACTGTATTACATTAAAGTTGCCATGGGAAATTTCTTAATTTATTTAATAATATTTGTAAATAATTAGCAAAAATTTCGTCAACCATATTTACTAACGCATTGTAGTGTAAAAAAAATGTATATTAATTTTAACGTATTACAATAAAACCCATAAAAGAGTCATGCTCCACTATAGTCATGCTGAATCTGCCTTTGCCTTGATTTGCATGCTGTTATCTTCTGACCTCCGTGAAGTTGGCACCCCATAAAAACAAATAATCCCCAAAACTATGCGTTTGTGCTATGTTTGTGTTGATGTGTGCTGCAAAAGCAAATGTTTGTGCTGGTTTGGGGTCTGAGATATTGAGCATTAATTTTTTGACCGTGTGCTGATTTGTGCCGTTAAAACAAACTCTGTATCTGTTTTCCTCGTTTAGATATAAGCTACATTTTGGCAGCCGTCACTCTACTTTGTCCCCTATTCATTAAGTGACAGTATCTACATTTCAGGAGTTCACACTTGGCTGATGATTGATTATAAGCCAGTTTGGCATGCTGTCCCTTTATTTGTCATTTATATAGGATTTATAAAGCATAAATAGTCCTCACTTTAGATTAGGTCACAAAACTGCATGAAGTTGAGTTAATAAAGCATTTATTAACATATATAGTAACCATTACTATATGCCTGAATAATAAGACATATAAATGTTGATTTCAATAGTTTATTAATCAGTTACTAACTCATCCTAAAAACCCTCAACTACTCTTAAATACAAACGGTTTGTAAATAATGCGATACTTAGTTAATGATTTATTTTTCATTACTAATCTAAGTATGAAAATACCATCATTAAACACATTATATAGGTGCTTATAAGTCAAGAATAGAGCATTTGTAGCTGTAGTTATTAACTGCTTACTAACGTTTATTAATGTAGAGTTAATGCTTAACAGATAATGAGTTCACTATTTGCTAATGCTTAATAAATGATTTATAGTGTGTAGTTATTATAAAGTGTTACCGTTTTTTCTAATTTAATGACTGTCAGCTCTTCTGTATATGTGTTGAGAGAAATTAGGAGTAACAGCTGATGTGTAAAATATGTAAAAATGACACTTTCTGCAGTTCTACTTAAATCAGTATTTCTTAAAGTTCATAAAAATGTCAAATGCATCACTGAAATGTGCTTATTCTTCATGCAATCCAGGAAAGTTTTGTTTGAGCTGTGGCTCAACTAGCACCTCAAGATGTACTGTAAAGCCTGGTTTATACTTCTGTGTCAAGTGACCGGCGTGACCCACGCCGCATGCAACGCGCGTAGTTGTGCAATTATACTTCTGCGCGCTGTCTCTGTCGGTCTGCATTAACACTTCAGAAACGCTAGTTGGCAGTGAGGTGTTAATGTTCCTCTGTGTCGAGTTTCTTCTCTGCTGTTTTGCTTTTTAAACTCAAACTCGCTCATTTTGAGGCAGGAACCGGCGGACTTTAACTATGAGGTAAACACAAAACCAAACTTTCCATCAGGAGCTCCTTTACAGAACTCCACACTTGTAAACAATTGCTCTATTGGGCTCGAGTCCAGCTCGCGCCATTCGCGTGGCTCTCAGTCCCGCCCAGACTCGTCAGCGCTACCAAGCCGACCAAACACAGAGCTTACGCTACGTGTCGTTGCGACGTGTAGTTACAATTTTTGAGAGGTGCACGTCAGCGACGCCGACGGCCATGGCAAAGGGCTACGCATCAGCGCCGTAGCATACGCCGGTGTTTGACGCAGAAGTATAAATCAGCCTTAAGTGTCCTCCATTCCCTCCAGCCTGAGCTTTACATTTCCTTTTTGGCACAAAAAGGCTTCATATTTTTTCAATAATACAAGATATATACATATATTCATTTAAAGGGGACTTGACTTTATTATATCTATTAAATTCAGATATACATGCTTTAATGATTTCATAGATGGAAGATAATCTTTGATGATTTTTGGACACTTTTAGTCAAAGCAATTTAAACTATACTTTATACAGGCTACGCAGGTATAAGTTATGGTTTTAATGAGTATGAATGAGACTGAGATTATTTTCATTAATCATAGGTTCAGCAGCTTAGGTGGTCAGAGTGTCAGGGTTTATTTTGCAGAGTCCCGCTCAGCAGGGCTGAGAATTCAATACCTGTGAATCGATTCATTTGTTCTGAAACAGAGATTACAATCGTTACATTGTTGCTCTTTGCTCTTGGAGCGGTTCGCTTTCACATTGCAAAGTTTCTAATTGGACCAAAAGAGCTAAAACAAGTCACGTGTGAGTAAACTCTCCTCACATTGGTGTCAGTGTTCAGACGTGTCTGAAGAGTGAGGAGAGATGCGGCGGGGAGGGGTGAGAAGGGTCCGTATCGTAGCCTATTTGAGGACCGTGAGGAAGACGCGAGATTACCTGGAGATTATCACTCGTAATTCCCTACTCATAATTCTCTCTCTTTATATAGCCGTATGCCTATTACATATCCATAAAACACTGTAATATAACCGCGCTCGGATCATTTGCTTTTTTTCACTGCAATCGATCCGCTCCAGAGTTCGTTTCAATCGAGCCGAGACCACCTCATTCAAGTGAACTCGACGCGATTGATTTGGCGCGGATCAGTGAGCGATTGGTGGATTCACATATGCCAAAGAAACCGCGCTAACTGGGCAAACGAGACGGGCTCCAAAACAAAAGTGTAGGTGTGAAAGCACCAATAACACACATTATGAAAACAGAAAAAAAAATATTTCTGACATTTACTAAAGGATCACGTTCATGTTTGTGTCCACTAATGTACAATATAAGTACAGCCCTCACAAAACACTCATTTAAATTAATATGTTTAATCAGAAGCTTTACAATATTATTTGTGCAAATACATTAGATTACTCAGTACTAAAGCCAAACCTGGAGCTACTTGATACTTGAACTTGATAACAAATGATAACAAAGCTAGAACACTCATGTTTATATGTTAAGGAAAAATATATAAAATGTAAAAAGAGCAGAATTCAAGAGAAACAAAAACTTTATACAATTTTGTTGAAATTATTTAATGTTTTTTTTCTTTTTCTTTTTTTATATTTGCATGAATTTAAATGTATAAAGTTTCTATTTCTAAAGATATTCAGTGACTAAAATACTATCTTTTCTTTAAATGCACCAAAATATATGACATATATTTACTGAAAATTTCATAAAAATATTAATTTTCAAATAGAGTGTACTTATTTATGTTGAGCAGTTTTTTTTTTTTTTTTTAAATAATAAATTAAGGACGTAATTATTAGCCCCTTTAAGCAAAATTTTTTCTGATAGTCAGAACAAACCATCGTTATACAATTACTTGCCTAATTGCCCTAACCTGCCTAGTTAATCTAATTAACTAAATCCTTTTTTAAAGAAGCCTATTTACGGATATATCCTCAGCAGTTTTCTTAATTTCAGCACTGTGTTGTTTTGCAGACCATATTTGACCAGCTCCTGATTGACCTGAAACAAAGATGAACAGATAGGTCATACTTTTAACAAATCATAAATGAGTACTATTTTTAAGTATACATATTTGTAGTAGATATGACTTACTCGCTGTAAAACAAATTGAACGTTTCCACTCTGTGTGAGGTCTAAATATGAGGAAAAACTCACTTGAATTCCAGCAACAGTGTCTGAAGGGAAACACAAATAAAATATTTATTACTCAAACGAAAACCTTACATGAAGGATATTAAATCATAGCTGAAAGATCAAACTTTTACTTTTCAAGATGATGTTTCTTGGTCCACTGTCCACCCTGAAGGCCCATCGGCCTGTAACATTGACATTACTGGAGTTCTTGAGGCTTGAGATTGAGCTCCCACTGTTTGATCCAGGAATCACAAAGTAGTTTGTGGAGTGTATCGTGTCATAACCAGCCTAATAATAATAATAATAATAATAACTTTATTTGTGTAGCACTTTTCCAACATACATGCAACTCAAAGTGCCTCACAAACAACAACAAAAGCATTAAAATAGACCACAAAAACTTATCACATATACTGAAATAAAAGCATTCATGTACACAAAATATAAGCATATATCCACATGATCACACACACAATAGTCCTTACATATGCAGGCACACACCATACATTACATACATAAACCTACAACAAAATAGATAAAATGCGTACACCTAACAAACTTGTTTAATCATAAGCAATTTTAAAAAGATGTGTCTAACACGGTTTTTAAAAACATGAATACTTGGGGATTCTTTCACTTCAAGGGGGAGACAGTTCCAAATTTTTGGAGCATAATGGCTAAAAGAAGTGCCGCCAGATCGCATCAGGTTTACAGGATAAAATTCTAAAAGTCCAGCACTAGAAGAGCGTAGTAAACGGTTTGGATTATATTTTGTTAAACAGTCGGAAATGTAGGAATGTGTCATATTGTGTAGTGCTTTAAAAACTAATAAAAGAATCTTAAAATCTATCCTTTGGTGCACAGGCAACCAGTGTAATTCTATTAATACTGGTGTAATGTGCTCTCGTTTCTTTAATTTTATTAAAACTCTGGCTGCTGCATTTTGTATCAATTGCAACTTCATTGTAGAACCCTTAGGTAGACCAGTACAGATAGCATTGCAATAATCAAGCCGAGAGAAAATAAAAAATAAAAGCATGAATTAATTTCTTGGCATCATCAAAAGATAGAAAAGAACGAATTTTGGCAACATTTCTTAAATAATAAAAACATGTTTTTGTAACTTGATTAAAACGAGATTTAAAATTAAGATCACAATCGAAAATAACACCCAGGTTCTTTAATTCTTTTTTTGATTGTAAACCTAAAGAACCTAAGAGCCTAAAAGTATATTCAGAATATTACACTTCTTCAGATCATTTTTCATTTAAACAGTGTTAACAAAGTATGTATACTATAAAACAGTAGTGAACAGAAACTTTTGCTCATTACATACAATAGGGTTCTTACAGGTGTAAGAGGCTAAACTATCATATGCATTTGTTTATATGACAAAACATTTCTATTTGACTCAAGAAGGTCCATACTGACTCTAAGGGCAGATACTGATTATCAGAGCCTGGTATGTGGACTTTTGGGGTTTTATGATGTGGTCACATGTTGATTGGTCAGTTTGAATGTCTCAGCATTTGGGCTTTAGTCACATGGTCAAGAAAGATACAAAATAGGTGTAAAACTCTGCTCTGTCTCTTTTCCTTTACAATTATTACACATGTTTTATCATTTCATATTTTATCATTCTATGCAGTTATTTTGTAATTAATTCAGTTGTAACCATAGAGAATTATTGTCATTAAATCATTTCATTTTCAAGTATTTGAGATTTGTTTTTGAATTAACATCAACACTTAATTACTCCATATTGCAACACAATACAATCACATAATATCAATGCTCTTTCACATTTTAAGCTATTAATACTGCTCTTATTTCCGTTTTTGGTATGAGATTGCAGAGGAATGGTTTGACTAGAAATGTACAGTTTTTTACCATCATGCTGATCACTTTTTATTCGCTCGGCATGAACTACGGTTCGAACCGCTGTGGGTTAAAGCCTATTCCTACACAGGTGCTGGAAATCCTGGAATATGCTTGAATTTTAATCATTTTCAAGATGTGAAAAGTGCTTAGATTTTGAATGATGTGCTAAATTATTTGTTTCCATAATTTATCTTACTAATGGGTAATAAAGATTACCTATTAATTAATTTATTCATTCATTTCAGTAGTTTTAAAATGAAAACTGTAGTCTGTGCATATGCATATATATATTTTTATTTATCTGTGCCCTTTAATAAAGAAGTGTAAGAACACAAAATGCATGGAGATTTCCACTTCATGACTGAACGATGCAATTTAAGATGCAAGATTACATCTAAGACATGCGTAATTTACATTTAAATTAAGTAAAGTCATTTTTTTTTAATTCTCTTATTTAACCAGGAATGTCCCATTGAGATACAATATCTCTTCTACCAGTGAGTGGTCAGGACAGGCAGCATAGGACAAAGTTTAAGTTGGATGCCAGGAACTGCTAAGTGTAGTTATATTGGAAAGTTTGATATCGCACAGCAAATGGAAAAAAAAAACCCTCTGCATTCCTCTGTAATTTCAGCCTGATCATACAAGAAAACGTAAGTATTTTACATTTTGCCATTTTATTGGCTAATTTGTTCGAATTCGTACGAGTTCAGTAGTACGAAACTGTACGATTTTAAAAAAGAGGTGTGGCACCTAACCCCACCCCTAAACCCAAACGTCATTGGGGGATGAGCAAATCGTACTAAATTGTACGAACTAGATCGTACAAATTTATACGAATTAGCCACTAAATCAAAAAGTTACGAATTGCTGTGAGATTGTCTTGCTAATTTGGATGCACTCTGTAGGTAGTGTCAGAAAGCCGTGTGTGTATAGACTATTCTGTCACAAAATGCGGCAAAAATTCTACACAACGGTAAGAGTTTAACTGATTTGTTTACATGTTTACATTCGGAAAGCAGAATTTACAGCAGATGTTTCAGTCCATAATATTGTAGTGATATTAACGTATGTAAACATTCATTCATTCATTCATTTTCTTGTAGGCTTAGTCCCTTTATTAATCTGTGGTCGCCACAGCGGAATGAACCGCCAACTTATTCAGCAAGTTTTTACGCAGCGATTGCCCTTCCAGCATTAACCCATGTCTGGGAAACATCCACACATACATTTACACACACACTCATACACTACAGACAATTTAGCCTACCCAATTCACCTGTACTGCTTGTCTTTGGACTGTGGGGGAAACCGGAGCACCCGGAGGAAACCCACGCGAAGGCAGGGAGAACATGCAAACTCCACACAGAAACGCCAACTGAGCTGAGGTTTGAACCAGCGACCCAGCGACCTTCTTGCTGCGAGGCGACAGCACTACCTACTGCGCCACTGCCCTGCCATGTACTGTAAACAGTACCTTAGAAATGATTTTGACTAAGGTATGACTTTAAAAACTGAAATAGTACTGCTAACGATATGAACTATTCTTACCTCAGAATAAACACAGACAAAGAACATTAATCACACACTTAGCAAAGCTGTAGAAACAAGACAATCAACACCAACTGGAGCAGTGTCTTTTTTAAAAGGAGATGAGCGGCAAATCCGGATTTCACCATTTTCAGATGGGAAATGAAAACAAAATCTTCATTGCAGCACATTTATAAACACAACACTGACAACCTGTGTACCCAAACAATTCTTCTCCTCCCACTTGTTTTGGCAATACAACGTAGGATCTCTCTGCCGTCTGAACACTAACAGGTAAAAACTTCGAAGCTATCATGCAAATTAAGTTGCACTTAATGCAGACAGCCAGTCGCTAGAACACATGCAAGGATCTAATCACGGTGAAGTAACTTCAAAATTGTAATTATATTATTCAACAATTTCCTCAAAATAGTGTTTTTTATCAGTTTCGGACATACAGTATGTTTTATTTTAATTTGATTTTGAAAAAAAAGTGTCAGAACTTTAATTTAATTTTTTTATTTTTTTTTTTTTACCTCCACTGGATGTCCTGTTTCAGCAATGTCACCATAATTCATCAATATAAATGAATAATTACTGCCTGAAATTAAAACCACCTGAAACGATGTTTCCTGAAAGGAAAAAAAATCAACTTTAACAGTGTTTTACTAATGTTTAGTAAAATTACAGTTTTATAGTATTAAATATTGCATTCATAAAAGACTAATTATTAATTAATAATTTGTATTACTTTCCCTGTCATAATGTGTTACTGCCAACAGAGTGAAACTGACACATCTAATTAAATCAGTTCAGAAGTATGAAACTCACTGTGCTGATCAAGCTGTAGTAAGACATTTTATTCCACGTTGCAACAAAAACCCAAGAAGCAGTGAAGTTCAGATTTGGGAAATAATTGTTGATATCCTGAGTGGCGCGAGTGAGAACACTTCCATTAGTGTATTGATGATAAGAGACGACTCCTCGTTTACTGTTATCAAGGTCAGTCCAGAGTCCAGCAATAATATCTTGACTTCCATAAGCTGGAAATAAGTAGGGAGCATACTGTGAAGAGGCCTGGCTGAATGTGAGAAATCCATTATTATTAACCTGAAACATGAGAAATACTGTTAAAATCACAGCCACAATTTTCAAGTTAATAGATGAGTTTATAAAGCTTCCAAAAATCAGATTAACACATGGAAACATAATGGACTCTCATAATGGAGTCTTACATAAATCTGCTGGTATGTGAGGCCAAAGAACTGAAACGGACTCAACAGTGGAATAACAGAGGAGCTTCCATCATCAACAGCAGGATTTATCGAGTCTCCTCCTTCTGAACCAAATGTGTAGAAGATTCCTGATCCTGCAAAGAGATTACAAGTAGATTATTTTACTGTTTACATTTACCAGATTTAGGAAGCTCATGTTTAACTGTAGCTTTGATAAGTAGCGGGACAATGGTGACCTCTGGTGGTGAAACCATGTGGATGTGATGTGACAGTAACATTTTTAAGGGATAGTTCAGCCAAAAGTGACAATTCATCATTAACATAGGCTTCACTTGTCCTAAACCCAACTGAGTTTCTTTCTTCTGTTGAACACAAAAGAAGATATTTTAAAGAAAGCTCAATACCTGTAACCATTGACTTCCATAGCATTTGTTTTTCCTACTATGGAGGTCAATAGTTATAGGATTTTTCAATCTGGATGAAGGTTTTATGAAGCAAGCTGAGATCTCTCAGTGATGCATAGCCAGACACAATGCACTTAATGGAGCTAGTGATGTCACTATTAGGGGTAGGATTAGGGGTGGGGTTTAGGTGAGCCCCATTGCATATAGCTCAGATTGCAACTGCATCCAGACCCCTCTTGTTTTTTTATTGTTTTTTGTTTTTGATTTTTTGCTTTTCACAAAAAATATTCAATTGTGTTCAACAGAAAATGTTCAATAGAAGATAAAAACTGTAGGGGGGGTGGGGGGGGGGGGGTGTGAACCATCCTTTTGACTGCTACATAACAAATGTTTATAAGGTTTAAACACACCCTGCAGTGCGATAGTGTTGTACTTAATGCATGTGTCGCGTATTTCGCATGAATCGCTCGAGTTAAAAAATCTGAACTTCAGTGGACATTCGCCCAGCGTTAACCAATCAGGAGCTTGCTTTTGTGAGGGCGTGATTATGATATAGCGCCTGTTGTTGGTAAAATGCTCGGAGTAAAATGCTCCGGCTGGGGAAGGTTAGAGACAAATTTCTGCTGCTCTGAAAGTTCCAATGAGCAGTGACCACCATCATCCATAAGTGGAAGATGTTTGGAACCACCAGGACTCTTCCTAGAGCTGGCCGGTCATCTAAGCTGAGTGATCGGAGGAGAAGGGTCTCAGTCAGGGAGGTGATCAATAACCTGATGGTCACTCTCTCTGAGCTCCAGCGTTCTTGGAGAGAGAGGAAAGCCTTGCAGAAAGACAACCATCTATGCAGCAATCCACCAATCAGGCCTGTATGGTAGAGTGGCCAGACAGAAGCCACTCCCCACCTGAAATTTGCCAAAAGGCATCTGAAGGACTCTCAGACCATAAGAAGTAAAATTCTCTGGTCTGATCAGACTAAAACTGAACTCTTTGGAGTGAATGCCAAGCGTTACATTTGGAGAAAACCGGCGCCGCTCATCACCAGGCTAATACCAAAGGCATACTGTGGGGATGTTTTTAGCAGCAGGAACTGGAAGACTAGTCAGGATAGAGGGAAAGATGAATGCAGCAATGTACAGAGACATCTGAATGAAAACCTGCTTCAGAGTGCTCCAGACCTCAGACTGGGGCGACAGTTCATCTTCCAGCAGGACAATGACCCAAAGCACACACCAAAATATCAATGGAGTGGCTTCACAACAACTCAGTGAATGTCCTTGAGTGGCCCAGCCAGAGCCCAGACCTAAATCCTATTGAACATCTCTGGAGTGATCTGAAAATGGCTACAACGCCGATTTTTCAGGATTTTTATTTTTAATAAATTTGCAACAATTTCAAAACCTCTTTTTTTTTACATTGTCATTATGGGGAATTGCAGGGTGTCCAAACTCGGCCCTAGAGGGCCGGTGTCCTGCAGATTTTAGCTCTAACTTGCCTCAACACACCTGCAAGGATGTTTCCAAAGCCTAGTAAGAGCTTGATTAGCTAGCCTAAAATATGTGGAAAAAGTGAAGCGCTATGAATACTTTCCGGATGCACTGTATAATAATGGGATCTGGCAGAATACTGTTAACCCTTACCCTCTGAGACCTTCTAGTAAGGAAATCCAGTAACCATGCAGTCATCTGTGCATCCACACCAAAATTCATCCTCAGCTTGTGAACCAACAAATCTGGCCGAATTGTATTAAATGCCGAAGAGAAATCTGCAAATAATAGCCTAGCACGATTACTACTCATTTCCAGATGTTTATACACCAGGTCCAGTAAGGTCAGTGTCACATCCTGGTCACCTCTTCCCGCTCAAATTGCAAATGGATCGAGAAATACTGTAGATTATACATTTTACTTTTATCTTTTTCTGTGCTGGAAAAAAAAGCATTTTATTCTGTGATGACCAATATATATATATATATATATATATATATATATATATATATATATATATATATATATATATATATATATATATATATATATATATATATATAAATATATATATATATATATAT